CTGGCACAAGTTTGGGCTTGTAACATGGCAAATTCAGATATTCATCTATTTATGTTTTCTCATGACGTTAATCAGCCATGAAGGGAGTCAATGACGGGGTTGGGAGGGGAGATTCTGAGCCAAACCCTTAAGTTCATGCTTTTGCAAGTAATACACTGAACATTTTGAGTGTTAATCATCAAATATGATGAAAAACTGTCACAGCAGCAGAGACCAGATTAACTTCTGGTACCTATGGCTTAGTGTAAGCTAAACTCCACATCATTAAACGCTAACACTAGCTAAATGCAGGCTGCCCCTTCTGGGTCAGGGATGGCAAGTGCCTCTCAGCTCGCTTGGCATGAGACAGTGCTAGAGCCTGTGCTAAGAAGGATTCTGAGGACCAGAACTGGTGGGAAGTATAGTTTTCACAGGATGAAAGTTGGGACACCAAGGAAGGTCATTCCAAGCGAGGCGAAGGTTCATTCATCATCCAGCCATGGGACGTCCACCCCAAACCCTGGCAGCCCTTCGCTCCTTCCTGATGCACAAAAAGCCCACAAGTCCTGGTGGTAATGTGCTGCCCAAAGCACAAGAGCTGGGAAATTCGGAGTGAGAGTGCTTGGATGTGAGAACACACTTAGAGGGCAGTGGTGGCCCAGGGGCACCTGTCAGCTGTGACGGCAGGGAACTCTGAGGAGAGCCAGCTGCAGTGAAATCCTGCAAGGTCACTGTGACACCTCCTGCCGGTGGCTCCCTCTCCTTACCCGGGAGACAAGCTTGTGTCTGCTTCATCAGGAAACTCAATGTTCATTAAGGCTACAACTCCCAGCCTGGCAGGCAGCACCAACATGGTGGTCCCCAAAGCCCTTCACATGTCTGTCTATCCATCCTGGAGACCATCTAGGTCCCAGACCCAAGGAAGCCCAAATATGTGGCACTGCGGCACCGTCCCCAGAAGACTCCTGCAGCAGCAGGTTACCCCTTACCTTTAACTCACGGCCCCTTTCTCCTTCACATCACCACGCCCTCGCCTACAGGGGAACGCTTGCTTCCAGGATTTGAATAAAATAAAAACTGACACTGTGGAGCCAGGTTTAAGGCTGAGCTATAAAGGATTCATGCAATTATCTTTGTCAGAATTCATTGTGTCAACACCCTCTGCTTCTCAGGTGGCATGCTACTAACATCTCCAGGAAGTTTGAGGAAATTGAGAATAAAGAAAACGCCAGGAACACCTCCGGGGGAGGTGGTTCTGGAGTGGAACAAACTGAGCACAAATAGGGGTTGGGGGCAGGTAAGGTGTGAACATAGAGAAGTACAGCTAAAGAGCTTCTGGGGCCACAGAAAATCCAAGAATTGCAGCAGGAAGGGACATGAGAGGCAGCTCATCCAATGCTTGCCCCAGTACCAAGACCCCACTCTCCACCCCTAGTTCAGGAACAAGACCTCATCAGAACTTAGATCAGTGTAGTACCTGGAGATGAGGGGAGCCCCTTCAGTGTTCCCTCTAAGGCTGGCTGAATACACTCCCTGCAGATGCTGTTGCCAGCCTGGAACAGTTCAGGAAAGGACAGCACTGAACCCGCCAGCCAGTTTGGTTATCTCTCCCATTCCCTACATCCTCTGTGTACTCAAATACTCGCGTGCACACACCTTCCACCAGGGGAGAATCTAGATGTTCACAACCCTCAAACTGAGCCGTCCAGCCCGCAGTTCTGCTCTGCACTGAAGACAAAACTGCTCACCGCCTACACATCCTCAGGGGACTAATAGCATCTCAAACTCAGCACAGGTGACACTGAGCACTTGACCATCTCCCAGCATCCTCTGAACCTGGGCTTTCTTACCCCAGGAAGTCATCACAGCCTTCGGGTCGCTCATGCTAAAATCCTTAGAATCAGCCTCTCTTCCCAATTTCTCTTAAACCTCACAACAAATCTGGCAGCAAATCCTGTCAGCTCCGCTTTCAAGGTATGTCCCACATCTGACCACCTCTCACATCTCCGCTGCTGCCACCTTGATCAAAGCCACTATGCAGTGTCTCTCACCAGGACTTGTGCCTTGGTTATTTATTTGCCCAATACTTCCTTGCATCCTCTAGAAATCTAAGTCCCTCCTCCTCTCAAACATTCCACTGATTCCCTGTCACTCAGAGTAGCAGCAGGGTCCTTGCTTTTGTCTCCAAGGCTATCATGTATGCTATGACACAGCTCCTGACTCCCCTTTGGGAATAAAAATTTAATTTATCCCCCAGATGCCAAGAATTGCACCAAATACCAGCCCACGATCACTGTTCCCTCAGGGACTTCCAGCTAAAGAGAGTCCCAATGCCAAGGTCAGACCTCCTTCCTGGGTCCACCCCCAGCCAATGCCTGGTCAACATAGTGGTGTAAGGCTCAGCTGCCCACCTGACTCAGGACACCTGTGAGGGGCTGGACACTGCCCAGCTCCTCCCACGCCTTGATGATACCTGTCCTTCTTTCTCCTCCCTCTCTTCAAGGAGAATTGTGAGAAGAGGAAATGGGGGGAGGGAAGGGGAAAAGGTGTGGATTTGGGAGGGAAGTGGGCAGCGTGAAAGGGAGAGAGCTTTGGAGAACACTGTGAGCACTTCAGAGAAAGTGATTCTGGTCTGGTGGTGAAGACCTCAGATATTTTCCCTGGGTATAAAGTACAGGCTCTGAAGGTATCTGGGAAAATGATATGGTGGTCACAAATACTCCACTTTGCTGACTGACAGAGATGGAGAAGAGGACCCAGAGGAGCAGCAGAAGTGGGGCTGAGGGTTGCTTGTAGGGAGTCCAGAGAGCTGTGCTCCAGTCCAGTGTCGCCTCTAATTACACAAGTGACATCTGGTGATACCAAAGCACCTTTCTTCCTTCTTGGCCCAGTGGTACCTGTCATCAAATCCCAGAATCACTGAGCTGCAGGGACCTCAGAGGTCATCCAGCCCACATTTCCAAATTCCAGGCTGGGAAATCAATTTACTGAGCTGAGAGCGTTTTTAAAAATGAAATAGAAGAGAAAAGACAATGTCAGAGTGCATCACTTACAGAAAAGGAAAATTACTCTGCAAAACTTATTTCAGGGGTGTGTGTGCATCTCTCTCTCTCTGTGTGTATGTGTGTGTGTGTGTGTGTGTGTGTGTGTCCATATGCACTGGTTCACTGTATCAGTCCATTTCTGTGGGTCACAGTAATAAATATTTGAAAGTTACTGATTGGGACCCTCCCTCCACACTGTGTGAATCGCCCCTGCAGCGTCCTCAGTGAAATGCATAGCGGCTCTTGCTCAACTACAGGCCAGGAGGCAGGTGGCCTCCCAGGGACAGAGGTCCCTCCACTGTCCCCTGCTCTGTGCCTAGGAAGCCCTTCCACACTTGGAGTTCCATTGTGCCTCTTGTTCTCCTTCTCATAGGCCTTCTCTCAAACTTAGTTTCTCAGAAATGATGCATGGGATCCCTGGGACCCACATACTCAAAGGCAGATGACATCTGTCAGAAAGTATGAGAACAATCCAGAAAGCCCAAATGCCATTATGAGAAACTCAGTTTGTTAGAAGGCAAGAAATCACTAAGGAAATCCCCAAGCCAGGTGTCATGGTACATACCTGTGATCCCAGTACTCAAGAGGCTAAGGCAGGAAGATTACAGATTCAAGGCCAATATGGGCTACAGCCTGGACTAAGAGCCAGACGGGAGTGAGTGAGAGAGAGAGAGAGAGAGAGAGAGAGAGAGAGAGAGAGAGAGAGAGACTGAGAGACTGAGAGAGACAGGGGGGCGGAGAGCAGCTTCAATAGTAATAGGAGGCTGGAGGTAGTTTCTTAAAGAGTTCGACAGAAAATTATTCCAAGTGTAGAGCAGAGAGAATCAGAGAAAAGAAGAGTGGAGGTTAACACACAGGAAGTTCGTGTGGCACTTCAGAGACCTGGGCATCAACTAAAGTTTGGGGATGGACCCCAAGAAGGAAGGAGAGAACAGAGGCCTCTGCAGTATCTCCCTTTCCTAGATGACTCCTAACTAATTCTTCCCAAGCATTTCTGTAAGCAGGAGTTTCACCTCCTAACAGAAACTCTGACTGAAAAAGTCCTACCAAAAATGAAGAGTTAAGAAGCAAAAAAGAAAGGAGGTTTCTGGTGAGTAGTAGAACTTTTCACTGTAGACCCCAAGGGCGGAGAGAATGAGAGGTCACATCCTGTGAAATCCAGAGGGCCAGAGAGGAGACAGAGGAACTCCTCAACCATTCCTGACCCCAGTGCTCAGGAGACAGTTGAAGTTCCAGGCCGGATGGCAGAGTGACACGTACTGCTTTCACAGGGCAGAGATGCCCAGACTGAAGAAGGCACCCATCCAATGGCACCTTAGGCACATAGAGATGCTGACCCCTGAGGAATCACAGAGGGGACAAGGAGGTTGCCACATGCTACTAACAAATGACTGTCTCCGCTGATAACCCTCATTAGACAGAACTTCACAAATGGCTTCATCTGAATTTCCAATACTTGATAGATTTCAAACCAGAACAATTATTTCTGATGTAAAGAATCAATATGCAGTTTCCTGGGCTGAATCCTGAGGGAATGGGGACATTTTCAGCAGGGTTGCTAGGATTAAAACTCCTTAAATGTCAAACAAACACAGACTTAGCTCTTTTAAAGAAGACTTTCATAAGGCAAAGGTTAACACTGCAAGGAAAAAGCGGGGTGAGAATTAATCTAACTCCCTGTGACCTCCTCAGGCTGGGTTTGAATTACATTTCCATGTGGCCCGTGAAGATCTTTCATGTCTCTCACTCCATTAGTTGGTGTACTTAGCAAAGGTCGGGCAGTGAACAGACGCTGTAGTTTCCTACCCAGAGAGTGCACTGCACAGCCCTTTTCCGGCCTTCGCTGGTGTGGTTCTTCCTGCCAGAGGTCTCCAGTGTGGGCTGAGTCACCTCTGCAGATGCCCCATCCTGAGCAACCCTGTGAATGATGGGCGTGAACCACCATCGCCACCCAGATCTGGGTAAAGTAAGACTCACTTGGTTTCTGGTCGGAGAGAACATAGCAGAAATCCTGAAGAGTTTCTTTTGCTCCTCAGAAAAATCAGTACTTTTCCTGGAACTGATTTCTGTCCAGCCAGTCTGCCAGCCAAAGCCAAACAAAGGAGGAAGACAAGGGCGTCAGGGAGGAGGAGAGCAAGGACACGGAGGGGAAATGGCCACAGAAGGCCATGTGATAAGAAAGACTCACATCCCCCAGTACTAAGGGCTTTCGGTCTGCTGGTCCCATCCCCAGTGCGGCCACACTCACATGCGTCCCTGAGGTCCTGAGTCCTCTTTGTTTCATTCTGTTACTTTTTTCAAATTTTATTTTTTTTAATTAATTTATTTTAAAAAAAATTTTTTTAAATTTTATTTAAAAGGAAAAACAGAAAAAACAAAACAAAACAAAGCAGTGTAAGGGTACAATTAATACAGAACTACAAAAAAAAAAAAAAACAGTAAGAAATCACCAGTTAATAGATTACAATTATCATCCTAGAGACAGTTGCTCAAGTCACAGTATCAAAGCATACAAAGTGGACATTCAAACAGTGAGACTGAAAACAGTTGTGTTCAATGATCCAACCAAAAACATTAATATGGCCATCTATTTAACACCCCTAAACACACTTGCAGTTGTATACTTTAGAGCACTTTTTTTCCCCTCTCTTTTTTTACAACAAAATTTACACATTTTGGGTTTTATTACTCCTTAGTTCTTATTACTTTTTGTTTTTTGGAAGAGAATAAACAAAGCTGTCAGTCAAAACCAAGGATAGACATAGTACATGATGTAAAAACAGAGTACAAGGTTATCAACAATGGTTACCATAATGCCTCTTGCTTCCTTAAAAAGAATTGTCTATCTCATTAGGTATGATAAACTTGAACAAAACAGTAGAGAACAAGACCAATAAAACTTAAGCATTGTAAACACTACAGGACTTCCAAAGAAGATAATAGTCAAATTTTATTTTAAAGAGATTAAGACAAAAGAGGACAGAACAAAGCAGATCAGAACAAAACAATGTAAGCAACACAGTACTTCACCACAAGACAATTGGATATTAACAGCAGCTACCATAATGTCTCTTTCTTTGAAGTAGTTGAGCATACCTTCACATACAATAGTATCAAACATAACAAAATAGTATAAAACCATTCAAGAGAATGAAAGTATCACAGGGCATTCAGAACCAAATAACAGAAAATTAACAATGACTACCATATTATCTCATTTTCCATAAAAATTATTTATACTATCACACATATTAAAATTCAATAAGATGCAACGTGATAGAACCAATGGAAACAGAAGAACAAAAACATGGTAGGACTTCAAAGCAACATGATATTAAATCAGCAATGGCTGCCATAATGTCTTGTTTTCTTCAAAATAGCTGTTCATGCCATCACACATAATAAAATCAAACAAAACAGAATAAAACCATTCCAACTAATGAATGAAAATATTATAAGGCTTCAAAGTAATGTAATGGGGAGTCATGATTACCATAAAATCTTATGTACTCTTAAACCATTTCTTACACTAGGGAGACTATACGGTATTTATACATGTGAGTTTGATTTATTTCGCTTATGAGTATGGTCTCAAGCTGCGTCCATTTATTTATAAATGTCTCAATGTGATCATTCTTTATAGCTGAGTAATACACCATTGTATAAAATTACCACAACTTTTTTATCCATTCCTCAGTTGATGGACACTGAGGTTGTTTCCAAGATCTGGCTATTACAAATCGTGCTGCTATAAACATGGGCGCACATATATCCCTGTGGTGTGATGCTTTCAGTTCTTCTGGGAGATTCTGTTACTTTTAGAGAAGAATCAGAATTCACTTCTTTCAGAAAACACCAATAGCTAAAAGGAGGACAAAGTCGGCGGTGGACGGCAACACGCACTCCATTCTTCTTCAGTAACTGGGTCTCCCCCTGCCAGGAGGTGCAAAGGTGAACTAGGTCTGGCCTTGCCCCTGAGGAGAGTGGAAGTGAAGGCAGCCGATGGATAAATTGCTGACAGGCCCACACAGACACTGGCGTGGCTCGTTCTGGCCTTCTCGGCCACCCTGCTCCTGAGAGGGTTTGCCGCAGCTCTTCTGTGGCTGAACAGAAGGCTCAAACTGCTCATGGGCTGACGTTTGACTTCTCTGTCCTCCTCCCCTGCTCCTCCTCGCTCTTCACTTGCTGTGTTGGGGTCATCCAACCACATGTTATGCTTTTTTCTAGTTCTTTCTCTCACGAGTTTGGAAGTTATACATTCTTTTCCTGGTTGTTAATGTTCACCCTTGAAACATCTACTACGCACTTAACTTTAGACTTCCCTGAGTCTAAAGAGAGTGGGCATCTTTATTCCTCCCTTTCCTAGTCCCCACACCACAAACCTCTTTATCTAGGCTGTGACTTGTTTCAGATTCACAAAAAATGTATTGCTGTTTTAGTTTATACTTACGGGAAGTGGTAAGGAAAGGAATGGGCGAGAGCTGGAAGACTGTGGGGAGAAAAGCAAGCACACGAGAATGGGGCCCATCAAGGCTCACTGGTCAATAGCAGATTATGCAGGGCGACCATTGGTCAGCTTTCCTACAACAAATACCTCAGATATTCAGCTTAGAAAAGTTTTGGTTTGGAGCCGAGTGTGAGGGCACACGCCTGTAATTCCAGCACTCGGGAGGCTGAGGCAGGAAGATCATTGCAAGTTCGAGGCTAGCCTGGGCTTCAAAGTGAGCCCAAGGCCAGGCTGAACTGCGTAGTGAGACCCTGTCTCAAAAAGACAAAAAAAAAAAAAAAAAAATCCACCACCCTGGGACCAATCTAATACACGCATGGGCTTTTAGGGGACATTTAAGAACCAAACTACATGACAGACTAATCTCAAGACCCCAGGTACAGGCCGGGAATAGTGGCACATTCTCATAATCCCAGAACTCTGGGAGGCTGAAGCAAGGGAACTGCAAGTTCAAGCCCCACCTGGACAACTTAGAAAAGCCTGGTCTCAAAATAAAAAGAATTAAAGTAGAAACTGGAGACATACCGTACCTCAGTGTGAAGGACCTGGATAAATTCCCAGTACAGAACAAAACCCTCAGAGGTTCAGGCCATTCATCTCTCCTGAGTCTAGGCTGGCGCCAGTCGTATGAGTGAAGGGCACCCCCTGAGCAGAGCTCCACACCGCCGAGCCTCAGTGTGCAGCAGGAGCCAGCTATCAAATGAATGTAAAATATGTCTCCTTCTCTGCACAGGATCTAGAGCCTCCCCCGTGTAAGGTCCTCTGGTGGTTTCTTGTGGCCCTTTTCATCAGTGTCATTACTTACCATTTGCATTTTTGTTTATTGTCAGTTTTACTCCACCAGGTCGTAAATTCACTGAAAAAGACTACTGTTTCCCCAGCACCTAGGGCAATGCTAATACATAAAGGCTACTCCATAATTATTTGCTAAATGAAGGAGTTAATTCACTTAATAAGCAGTTATTGAGCATTCCAAGGTTGTGATGAAGATCAAGTGAACTAATATCACACAAAGATCATCAACAGCGTCGTTACGATTTCCACTCACAATAAACTTGCAGACAACAGCATACACCAAGCACCAGTCTGCTTGGGCTACTTCCAGCACAATCTGAACAACAGCAACCACGGAAAAGGTCAAGGTTTCAACACACTTTGCACAACAAGGATCATTTACAGTCCAATCATTTGGATTAATCTCCTGACTTAGGTCTGATCTATTTTTGTCAAGCAAGCAAATATATATTGATATTTGCAAAGAAGCTCGTGCATGTGGTGCCCACTAAAATATGGCTGCATTTGCCCTAGTAATTGTCTCTGGAAGCTCATTCCCAGCTGCGCTGGCTCATTTAGCTAATCTGCAGTAAGTATGGTATTGATCCAAGCAGCTAGGGAGGAGCACGTTAGCTTGGACCAAGGAAGGGTGATTACTTTGGCTGCCCGGTCACCTCACAGACTTGGCTAAAGTCTAAAAGCCACACTGACACAGCCTGGAAGTGAGCCCTCTGGCTTCAATGCCCCCAGAGCCCAAGACACACATACACTTACACAGCATGGGCAACCTGAACTGGCACAGGAGCCCGGGAGTTCGATGGCAGGATCTCTGGAAGATGTTAACGCTCTCCAAAGACTCTTTCCATTCATTCCTTCATTCATTCATAACTAACAACATTTTTAAAATATGATAATACTCAGTGTTTGCTAAGATGAATCAAAATTGATATTCGCATATGCTGCTTATGGGAATGCAAATGAGCATAATTATTTGAAAAGCCAATTTAGTAGAATGTAACAAAATGTTAATATTCTCTGACCCTATGCTTCTACATCTTTGAATACACTTTTAGTAAATAGTCACAGATATGGTGCATTGTTTATAATAATTATAAATGTGCCAAGAAGGGGATTGGTTAACTGAATAAGCTATTGTGTATCTTCTCAAAGACTATGTTTTAACCAAAGAAAATATTTGTGATTAATCATGGGAGGGAGGTTGGGAAGGGAAGCAGTATAAGCAATTTGCATATTTTCATACTAAAGTATTTAAAATAAATTTGCAATTATACATAGGAAACTACTGGATTGATTAAAGAGAGGGTTCACAGAGTAATGCTATATTACTCTCTATCTGTACTTAAGGAATATCACAATAAAAAATGAGAGAATATAATTTGAAAAGATATGCCAAAATATTAACAATGGATCTAGGATTTCAGGTTATTTCTTCAGAGTGATTGTCTTGTTTTCCAAATTTTCTAAAGTAAGTTTATGTTTTTGTGTGTAATACAAAAACATTAGAACTTCCTTTAAACACGATAACATGCACACAACATCTATCTGGTAAATCTGTGCCACCTACGGGGCCTGAGCAGACACAATGGAAAAGAATACTTGATGGAGAAAAAGACATAGAGATGTCAGTAAGCCGGGAAGATACGGCGGCACACACCAGTATTTCTAGCACTTGGGAGACTGAGGCAAAAAGAGATGACAAATTCAAGCTCAGCCTGGGCAACTTAATGAGACACTGTCTCAAAACAAAAAATAAAAAGGGGCCAGGGATATAGTTCGGTGTGAGAAGGTTCTGTGTTCAGTGCTCAGTAGCAGAGAGAGAGAGAGAGAGACAGAGAGAGAGAGAGAGAGACAGAGAGAGAGACAGAGAGAGAGACAGAGAGACAGAGGATTGAAAGAAAAGGCAATAAGTCCTTCCCTTTGGCTAGTAAGGATCCCTGAAAAGTGTGGTGGGAGGTAGTATAGAAGATCGGGAGTCCCCAAACATTTGGGAGCCATAAAAAGGGGTAGAAAGGAACCCAGGGACTGATACGTTGAGAATTCTCTGGGTCAGGATGGCCCTGTGGGGTGTAGTAGAGCTGAGCCACCCTACGAGCATGACACTGGTGGACAGGCTAGAATGTGGCCGGGGACAGAGCCCAGGGTAGTGGCAGAGGCCACCTGGGGACCATCAATAGACGTTCCATGCCCATCTCACAAAACCTGGCACAGTCCCCTGAGGCAAGAGTTAAGAGGCCAAGCTTAGACATCAGACCAGCTGGCTTGCCTCGGCCTCCTCACTCATCAGCTGTGTGCATCCCTCTGTGCCTCAGCAATTTCATCT